TCTTTAGTGCTGCATAGCATTCCATTATGTGTGTGTACCATAGTTTGGTCATCCATTCTTCCACTGGTGGGCACGTAGGTTGTTTCCATCTCTTTGCTATTGTAAATAGTGCTGTGATGAACATGAGTGTGCATTTATCTGTTCCTGTCCTGGCTCTCATCTCTCTAGGATATATACCTAGTAATGGGATTGCTGGGTCAAATGGTATCTCCAATTCCAGTTTTCTAAGGAATTGCCATATTGCTTTCCACAGTAGTTGTACTACTTCCCAGTCCCACCAGCAGTGTATGAGAATCCCAATCTCTCCACATCCCCACAAGCATTTGTTATTTTCTGTCTTGTTGAACCTTGCCATCAGTACTGGGGTGAGGCGGTATCTCATTGTTGTTTTGATTTGCATCTCTTAGATGGCCAGTGATTGTGAGCATCTCTTCATATATCAGCTGGCCACCTGAATATCCTCCTTGGTGATGTGTCTATTAATGTTTTCTGCCCATTTTTCAATTGGATTGTTAATTCCTTTGGTATTGAGGTATTGGAGTTTTCTATAAATCTTAGAGATAAGTCCCTTGCCAGATATGTCATTATTGGCAAATATGAATTTGTTGCTGTCATTTTTGTTGTATGTTTTTTCATGGTGTCGATTTCTTTGTTCCATATAATTTTCTATGCTGAGCTTGTATTTGCTAAATATTTGTGCTGATCTTCTTTTTTATTTTGATGTGAAAGTTTATCATTTTTCTTTGATGTTACCCTGTGATTTATAGTTTTCTTCCCAAGTTTGGAACAGTCCTTTCTATCTTGTAGTTGTCTTGATTTACCTACCATCTAGAAGTTCTATAACAACACAGTTTTTTCCCTCTTTTTGTTTTGTGGTTGTCCTCATTTGTCAATTGATGTCTCTGGTTCCCTGTTTACAATCTTGTAGGCTTATTTACTTTGGGTACTTCCATAGCTGGATTGGTTTCTGGGTTATGCCATTATGTGTGTTAATGGTCACTTGTTGGCTGTTGTTGCTTCTCTGTCCAAAGGATTCCCTTTAGCATCTCTTATAAGGTTAGTCTGGTTTTGACAAATTCCGTTAATTTCTGCTTATCTGGAAATGTCCTTATTTCACCATCATATTTGAGGGATAGTTTTGCTGGGTACATAATTATTGGTTGGAAATTTTTCTCTTTCAGGGTTTTATATATACCGTCCCATTATCTTCTTGCCTGCATGGTTTCTGCTAAGAAATCTGAGCTTAGTCTTATTGTTTGCCCCTTGTAGGTAACTTTTTGTTTTTCATGTGCTGCTCTCAGGATTCTTTCTTGTTCTTTGGTTTTGGTGAGTTTGATGAGGATATGTTTGGGTGATTTTCTTTTGGGGTCTATCTTGTCTGGGGTTCGTTGAATTTCCTGAATGGATAAAGTCTCATCTTTCATCATGTCAGGGAAGTTATCTTCCAACAAGTCTTGGACAATTTTCTCAGTGGTTTTATATTTCTCTTCCTGTTCTGGAATTCCAGTGACATGTAGGTTATTCCTTTTGATGGTATCCCACATGAACCTTAGGCTATCTTCATTTTGTTTTGATATTTTTTCTGACTGATCCCTTTCCAAAGCGGTATTCAGGTATTTGTCTTCAGTCTCATTAATTCTGTTTTCCATTGCATCAATTCTACTCCTTTGCCCTTTCAGTGTGTTATCTATTTCTGACAGTTTAGTATTAATCTTCTTAATTTCTATATGAATATTTTGAATAATTACTGATTTTTCATTTATTTTGTCATTTTATTCTTGTATTTTGTTTCGAAATTCTTCTAGGGTTTTGTCTGTGTTTTCCTTGATCTGTCTCTTGATCCTTTGAAGATACCTAACTATAATTCTTTTGAATTCCTTATCAGGGAGTTCCAGTGTTGCATCTTCCTCAGGGATGAGTTTTGAGTCTGTATCCTGGTCCTTTGTTTCTTCTGCTTTATCTTGTTTCTTTGAGTGAACTGTGATGTTCTTTTGTCTCCGAGGCATTGTGACATCTTGTGTTTATATTTAATTGGTGATTGTATGTTGGAGTGACTTGCCCATGATTTTCTTTGTGTGTTATCTGTGCAAGGAGGGTACTGTGCTGTGCTCCTCTGTTCACTAGTGTATAAGTGATAGCCCTTATACACTCACCACTTGTCTCCTTGTCCTGTTGTCATCCTCTTGTATGTCCCTGCCAACCTTTCCAAACAGAGCCTATTCTTAGGTCCCTGGAATCCAAATGAGAATGCTGTCACTTTAAAATCCAAAATGGTTTCCACTTATAAAGATTCATAATGACTGTACCCTTGGTCACTTTATCCAAAATGGCCACCGCTTATAAACATTCAAAATGGCTGCACCGTTGGTCACTTTAAATATCCAAAATGGCCGTGCCATCGGTCACTTTAAATATCCCAAATGGCTGCTTGTAAACATTCAAAGTGGCTGTGCCCTCAATGACTTTAAATATCCAAATGGCTGCCATGTGTAAACAATCAAAATGGCTGTACCCTCCAGACAGTGGAAAGTCAACAGCTCAGGTTGTCTCCCTCCTTGCTGCTTCCATTCCTAGTCATAGGCCACCAATGCAGTCATCCCTGCAGCCTTTGGTGACCAGGGCTGATCTTTAGGTCAGTTCTCAGGTAAATATTCAGGCTGTTGGTCCCGTCAGAATAGGGTACAGTCCGCAGCTCCAACCGTCTCTGTACTCACTGTTTTTGTTCAGGTTTTTCCACTAGTTGGTGCCTAATCAACTTCTCTGTTGTTCCTCTCAAAGCTCAGAGCTCCAGGATTATCTTCTGTATCTCTATCAATTGTTTTTCTTTTCTTTGTTGAAGAGGGTCTGTGTTGCTTGTCTGCCTATTCCTCCCTCTTACCGGAAGTCTCTCATTTGAACTCTTTAAGAAGAAAGATTTCATGCTATTTTCTCAACTGGAATTTGTCTGTAACAATCTCAGAGACACAGACTTACTAGAGAACATAAGCTAGAGACCTCTTGAGTACCTATGATCCAAAACTGTAAGAACGCAAGATACTCTCCATAGAGCTGATCTTTCCCTGCAGTGTTATACAGCGACCCACACACTAGTGTGGAGTATTAGAAAATTTGAGCTCATTGGAAAGAAAACCATGATTATTTCTATAATATTTTGCTTTAATTTTCAGTGTCAGGTCTTATTTTTTGTTGCTTACAGTACATGGTAAAACTGGGGTCACTTTATTGGTTAGAATTCACTTCCCACTGCTGGAATTGCTCGTGGTTCTGTCGAGGAGAGGAGTCTCAGTGGTAGGTTTTATAATACAGAACCGAATCACTCATGCCACTTTTCCAATTACAGATATATTCTGAAAATGCTCTGACATGTCTAAATTGCCTTCAGAAATCATTAAACCAAAACCAAACCCACTGCCATCAAGTCAATTCTGACTCATAGCATCCCCTAGGGTTTCCAAGGCTGTAAATCTTTACAGAAGTAGATTGTCTCATCTTCCTCCTGCACAGCAGCTGGTGGGTTTGCACACCAGCCTTCTGGTTAGCAGCCAAATCCCTTAACCACTGCACCAGCAGGGCTCCTTCAGAAATCATTAAGGAAGAGAAAATGAAAAGTAGCTCTGAATACACTCTTTAGAAGAGAAGTGATTCACCCATTCGAAGTCTCTGTAAAGTGTCATTGATAGTGACCTGAAGGATCAGTGTTAGGATGCACCCTTGTTAAGCTGTCCCTGCTGAAATATCTCATCTAATGAGGTTTTGATGATGTCAGGGTTTTTCTTAAACAGTCTTTTGCTTTTTGGACTTGAATCCGTGACAATATGGGTAAGTTGTGGCTGTTTTCCTCCATTTTAAAACATCTACAGAGATGGCTGACCTTTATGCAAGTAAATACAGTGGATACATTTGAAACTTCAACTTCCTAAAATATAATGGAGAACTCCGTGACAACAATATATATCAGTGTTTTTCAAAATACAACATAGCAGGTTGTTAACAGCATTTTTTAAAAAACGAAGTAGAGTAGAAACTTATCAGAGTACGTTGTACAACGTATAGGGGTTAGTGCTGTTCTGTAAAACTTTTGATTCAGTTTTACAGTCATGCGCCGTGTAACATCTCTTTGGGCAACTACTGACCAATTATGTGTCTCTCAATCCAACCCCTGTAAAGCCTATTATATTAAAAATTTGAGATACGTTAAGTGGTTTGTAATAACAAACGTGCTACTTTGCAACACACATCAAAACATTATTATTATCGCTGTATTAGGTTAAAAATGTTTTAATATCACTGGAAGTGTTTCCTTAATTTTTTTGTAAACATAGAAAGGTAACCCTATATACTATATACAAGACAAACATCTGACTAACTCACATTAGCTACAAACTGTACCTAACTGTTGTGACTTAAAAATTAGACTTAAAGGCAGACTTACGGACGGAAATTAATCATAATCCAGGGACTGCCTATATATAAAATGGTGTTCATAGAATGTATTATGGACATTAAGCAATGCATGACTATACATGTATGTATGTATTGAGTTGCAGTGTAAGATGTATTTCTTATTGTAGGTCTTGATAAAAAATATTTCAAAAACATTGATGTTTAGATTATAGAGACTTCTTTGTATTTCAGTCCTGTGCTTGGGAGCTGTCAATCAGACATACTAAAATTGCTGATCATTTTGGACAAATTACTCTGTATTTAATTAGAGTTGATGATATTCAGGTATTTTGAAATGGGAAGAAAATGTGGCTTATCAATAGATAATGTCTATAATTCATTGGGCGAGAGCTTCTTCAAAATACACAGACCATGTAACACCTTCCAATGGAGAATTCCTGTTGGTAGGAATTCCTATTGCTAGGATATTTCCCATATCTTACATCTTATTAGAATGGGGAGATGAGGACAGAGAACCACTGTGTTAGGCCATTATTGTTGGAACTTTGTAATTACATATCCTTATAGTTAGCTTTCCTTTTGAACCTTTGAAACAGGCAAAACTGGATGGTGGAAGACAACAGTGGAGACCTGTCCTCATGGCTGTGACTGAGAAGGATTTGCTGCTTTATGACTGCATGCCATGGACAAGGGATGCCTGGGCATCACCGTGTCACAGCTACCCTCTTGTTGCCACAAGGTAAGACTGAACCAAACCAAAAAAACCAACCTCATTGCCACCGAGTCACTTCCGACTCATAGTGACCCCCTTTGCATTTCCAAGGCAGTAAATCTTTACGGAGTGGCTGGTAGATTTGAAACTGCCAACCTTCTGGTTAGCAGTCCAATTGCCTTAGGCACTATGCCACCAGGGATCCTTAAAGGTAAAACTACAAACCAAAAATAAAGTATCTAGCCTAGTCTAAATCTGCTAAAGAATCTTGAAGTGAATTCTGTTATCCTCAGTGCCTAAAATATCAATTAAGTAACTGATGTAGTTGATTTAGACAAAACTTTTCATTCACCTTATTGATCTTTTTGCAGCTTCTAGCTCAGAATAAATTGTTTGTCAGTAGTATTTTTTGTTGCATTTTTAAGTAATTGAAGAAAGTATCTTTAACTGCTTTATTCAAGACTTGCCCAGTCATGAAGATAGTTAAATAGGGTTTTAGATTTTTTTCCCCTTTAATTTATTGGCAATAACTGGAACCCACTGAAACTGTGGTAGCCGTTTGACTGAGTAATGACAGTGTGTAAACCAGACGGTGGTACTGTGGAAAAACCAGGCCATGCAGGCAGATAGTCTTCAATTTCTCCTTCTAGCCTAAGAGCACAGAGCTTCGATTCCCTCAGACACTGATTCAACCTGAAGCAACAGGGTGTTTGTAGCAAGCCAGATGTGGGGAGTTAGAAGGGGAAAGAACAGAGAAATGATGATGTGAGCGCCAGAGGTCCTGAGGGATAGTAACTGTGAAGCTAGAGTACATACTCACATTCACGTTTATTTGGGCTTAAAAAATAACCAGATGTTAATGTGACTCAGAAACCACATGTTAATAAGGAACCTCACAGAAAAGTATTTGGCAATCAAGAGCTAAAGGGTGCAACTATCTGGTATGTCCCATAGGGAACAATATGGGTGTATCCTACTTTGAACAGAAAAAGAATTGTGGGAGGAAGAATATTCTCTGCACGATGGGAAGACTTTCTCTTTATTTAGGATTTCCTTTCACTTATTACAAGGAGCTCTGGTGGTGCAGTGATTAAGTCACTTGACCACTAACTAAAAGGTCGGTAGTTTGAATGCACTAGCTGCTGTATAGAAGAAAGATGAGGCAGTCTGCTTCCATAAAGATTGACAGCCTTGAAAACTCAGTGGGGGTCACCATGAGTCAGAATCAACTCACTGGCAGTGAGTTTCGTTTTTTGGGTTTCTTCTCATTTATCAAGTGCCCTTACTTATATAATTCTGTTATAATAATGTGAGCTGTGTGTATATGAATTCTATTTTGGTAATGCTATTATAACTAAAACAACACACACAAAAAAAGCCAGCAAGATTGAATAGAAGGGACTAATACCAATCCATAATAAATTGAGTTTAAATCCCTGTTCCACAGCTTACAGTTAAGTGGGACCATGTCACTTAACCTTTTGGTGCCACAGGCTTGTAATTTGTAAAAGAGATAGGGTCAGTGTGAGTTTTAAATGAGTTAATACTTGTAATATGCCTGGAATGGTGCCTGGCACATGATAAGTGCTTAGTTAATTGTTAGCTGCTTCAATTATGATTAAAAAAAAAAATTAATGAAAATTATATCAGACCAGAAGAACTACATGGTGCCTGGCTACCACTGTCAACCACCGAGAGGGGGATCTATGTAGGAGATCCTGGAGAGAGTGGAAGAACGATGTGGAACAAGACTCAAAATCATTTAAAGGGGGGGGGGGCAGGTTTGCTGGTCTGATAGAGCCTGATGGCACCACTGAGAGACTATGGCCCCTAGCTGCCCTTCAGGTCTGGAATTGAACCTACTCCTGTGGCTTCCAGACAGACAAAAGACAGGCATATGAGCTGACCATTTACATTAGGTAGATAGGTAGATACACTTCTTGGAGAGAGCAATCATGGGAGAACAGAAAGGCTGTGTATGCACAGGGAGATAGCATAGGGGGTAGGAGTGCATGGGAGGGAAGGACACAGGGAAGAGGTAACTGTGGGGAGGAAGTGGGAAGGGAGCGGTTGCATTGTGAGAAATTGCAGTCAATGTCATGAGACAAAGTGTATGTGAGCTGCTGTATGGAAAGTGAATTTGCTCTCTAAACTTTCACCCAAATCACAATAAAATTTTTTTTTAAAAAAGAAAATTATGCCAGAGAAGAAATCTATCAAAGAAGTATAGTTGCTTTAATCTGGCCATTACTAAAAGAAGAGCTCTGGTGCTACCTACTGTTTTTACAAGTAATGAAAATTCCAACTTAAATGTGAGGAATGCAGAGGTGCTATTTGGATCATGCAGACTCAACTGGCCAGCAATTACACGAGCGGCACCTATAGCTCTCTGAGTATTTTAGCTCTTAATAAGTTTAATTAATGTAACAGCAGGGATTCTTTACTCCTTATTTAGGAAATGCTGGCAGATCAGGAACAAAATGACAGGCAGATGAGAGATTTGGTTTTTCCACATAGCTCTTTTGGCCAGGTGGAATTAGTTTAAGTCACTGCATGCTAGAATTAAGTGGGGCTGAATCATCCTCTGCCAGCCTCTCAGAGAGGGTAGAGTGCAGCCACTGAGAGACCAGAGACTGGAACCAGACCAGGAGGTATCCCACAGAGAGAGGCAAGGCCAGAAAAGTAGATGCTCGTGTCTTTTTAGTAAGTGAGACAGTGAATTTGAGATCTGTGTGAGTAAAGAAAAAGGGTTGAATGTTCACTTTCACTAATGCTGTTTCTAATTCTTTGGAAAATGTTCTTATAAGTGATGTGACAGCAAAGAAAAAGATAGCATAAATACATAAGGAAAGGAAAAGAAATTAAGGACTTTGGTTGTCCATAAGGAGCTCTGGTAGCACAGTGACTGTTAACCAGAAGGTTGATGGTTCAAACCCACCAGCTACTTCACAGAAGGAAGAGTAGGCAATCTATGTCCGTAAAGATTTACTGCCTTGGAACCCCAATGAGGATTACTGTGAGTCAGAATCAACTCTGTGGCAGTGGGTTTAGTTTTGGTTTGGTGGTTATCTATGAAAGGAGATAAACTAGATGCAACCAAACTCGCTGCCATCAAGTTGGTTTCGACTCATAGCAGCCCTATATGACAGAGGAGTGCCCCAATAGAATTTCCAAGGCTGTAAATATGGAAGCAGACTGTCACATCTTTCTCCCACAGAGCAGCTGGTGAGTTTGAACTGCCATCCTTTTGGTCCACAGCCAAACACTTTATAAGCAGTGCCACCACCAGGGCTCCTCAAAAGGAGATAAACAAAAGAACTCACTGCCATCGAGTCAATTCTGACTCATAGCGACCCTCATTTGGTTACTGAGGCTGTAAATCTTTATGGAAATAGATCGCCTCATCTTCCTCCCGCAGAGTCGCTGATGGATTTGAATCGCTGGCATTCTGGTTAGCAGTCAAGTGCCTTCTCCAGTACACCACCAGAGCTCCTTCAAAAAGAGATACTCGCTGCTGTCGAGTTGGATGCGACTCATAGCGACCCCTCCTTGAGTTTCCGAGGGGGTATTGCTATGGAAGTTGATTGCCCAGTCTTCCTTCTGAGAAGTGGCTGGTGGGTTTGAAACACTAGCCTTCGGATTAGCAGGCAGATGCCTTAGGCACTACGCCACTAGAGTTCCTTCAAAAGGAGATAGTCCCTGATAAATTAAGAAATAATTATAGTCCTAAATTGGGGAACATTCTCAAGGTGATATTAATTACCAGGAGAGTTACCTCTTGTATTGGATAGCATAGTTACAGAATCCTGGAAACCAAAACTCTGTGTGTGTGTGTGTGTGTGTGTGTAGCTAATACTTCAGGTCAATGAGGCATTAAGTAAAACTTAAGTGATGAATGAAGAGGATTTTTACTTTAAATGTTTCTTGAGATTAAAGCCAGATACATGACACAGGCAGAAAGACATACGGTGGTTTTATAGGTGATGTGGATTTTGTAGTGTTTTCCTTTAAACTTTCTATGACTGAGAGAAAAAAATTCAAAGAAAGTTTAGCTACTTTACAACATGGAAAATTGAGTGGTAGTGTACTTATAAGACTTACGGGGCAAAAGCTGCTTAAAAAACCTTTGCATGAGCTCATTTGGACGCCTCTGAAAACAAGGGGGCCTTTTGGCAGTGTGTCCTAACCAACTACTGCTCAGCAAGCGTCCAGCAGCTGGTTTGAATTAGATTCCTTCTGCCAAATCTTTCATAATCAACTCTTTAGGAAAACACTCCTAGATGATATTTTTTAATGTTTGACTTGGGATTAGCAATCAACCTAATATGGTAGAAGATACCCTGTCACTTTCCTCAGCACTCCGTCTTACTTGGAGTAATTTTGAAACTTATTTAGCTCTTGCTGAGGTAGCTAATGTTTAATTGGCATGTTGTTAGTTCTGTGGTAATCAGTTGAGTGCAGTGGTTCTCAAAGTATACCTCATGGAATATGGGCATCCTTTCCTCAGGAGTCTGTGGGTTCAAAACTGTTTTCTTAGTAATACTAAGTTCTGCTTTTTCCACTGGGTTGACATTTGCACTGGGGGTACAGAAGCAGTATAGGTAACATCGCTGGCACTTTAGCATGAATCAGGGTGGGCCACCAAAGTGTATTCAGGAGTCATTGCATCCTTCATCATGACATATCTACAGGAACAAAAAATGGCATGTCACTTCAGAATGTCTTTGTTGAAGCAGAAAAAAATATTAGTTCATTTCATCTCAATCCTTGAGGATACATCTTTTTTAATATTCTTTGTTATAAAATGGAAAGTATTTACAGAGCACTTCAGCTGCAGACTGAAGATGGTTGGCTCAAAGAAAAACACAGGTGCAACTGAGTTACAAGCTGAACTAGCTGGGGCTTTGCTCTGTTCTTTTGTTGTTGATTTGTTTTTTTATGAACCACCATCTTTTTACTGCGAAGAACAACTAACAGGGTGTTGTTTTGGTTCAAGGTTTAAAGAGTATCTTGGGTTAGTAGTTTCA